GCGGGTCAACAGGTTTAATGGCCTTACAGGTTTCCCCCCACTTTCCCTTACTTTTAAAAACCCCTTTCCCCAGTCTTGGGCGCGCAGTCTTTGGGTCGATCCAGGAGAGACTGTGCCGCCAGGACTGGCTCAATAAAGCCTTTGCCACTTAAGTTTTGGACTCTTGTTTCCTTGGACTTTATACCGGGGCCCACGTTACAACAAACCATGTATCATAGAAAATAACACTTTCATTTTATGTTCTAAGATGGTTGGTATTTAAATAATAATGTTAAGCTTGCTGCCTCTATTACACTATATTGTTATCAATCTTTTCTTCTTAGTGTTCAAAAACTGAGGTTTAGAGACCAAAAATTACAAAGATAGATAAGCAAAGAGGAGCCAATATTTTGGCCCTAGCCCTCAAAAGTCAGCTTCCTAGCCCTAGGAAGCCAGGACCTAAGAGATCCTTTGCTGCATCAGCCTATACTCGGTGCATCCTTGATCTTCTGAGAAGGAAGACTGTGAGAAAAAAGACTGTGAGGCCACAGAGGAAAGTGATCATCAGTGTGTGGTGTCCCTAAGGAGATCACCAGGAGAAAAGGTCTCCCAAGCACTCACAGAAAGCAACTTGGTCACGCAATGGCCGTGACTCATCTAGAGACTGACACTGACAAAGAGCTGAGAGCTGCTACACGTGGCTCCAAGGTAATTCCTGAGGAGCCCTAACTGACTGGATAGATAACTAACACTGACTGTATTTAATGCAGGTATCATCTTAACTTGCTCTTGAACATCCAACAAAAAAGAATAACCACAAATGTGTAAAACAATGCTAAAGTAATATGTTATAAAAGAAACGCAAATCACTAACACTTCCTGACATTTGCCAGCTACACTGGGAGCTGACTACTGCTGTGGATTAATGGACTGCACAGGATTTCAACTGCACAATGCAGGGACTTAAAATTCTTGGACTGCACTTAAAAAGGTCTTCTACAGATTTCTCCAACACAGCTCTTCAAGCTTCAACTGACCACCCATCCTGTGCTGTAACAAAACAAAAAAGAGGGATATGCAGGAGCCATTGAAGCTGGAAACTGATCACACGTGGGGCTAAAGCAAGGCCAGCCCTAAAAACACACAGAGTCCAAAAGAAGCCCCCTAAGCAGGCTGTTCCAGCACCAAAAAGGTAAGGGGCCCAGGTCAGGTAAACAAGTTGCTAGGCAGCAAGGTTGGAATTGACCTTCTTCTTTGGAGGGTACAAATGAAAGTACCATAGTGGTTGAGCAGTTCCTTCCCGCCCACACAGCAGGAAGGACCACACCTTTCCTCTCTCTGCGTCTGGTCCTCCTCTTCCCATCCTTCCCCTGCGGACACCTACCGCTGCACCTACAGCCGCTGCCGCCTCCTCCTTCACTGAGGTCATTCTCTTTGTTCTCCCTGTGGGCTTCAATTCTCACTTCAGATCCTTCCTGGATCCTGGGAACCTCCCTCCCTCCTGCTCCTTTTCAAGCTGCTACATTCAGTGTCCGGTCACATCTTGGAAAGACTCTTTCTCTGCTGCCCTCCGCTCTAACATCTTCCACCCAGAACTCTTTGGATTTTTTTTTTTTAATTTGCGACAGTAATTTGCTAAGATAACTAAGTTACCCAGGCTGACAACTTTTACCAAAGATATCTGATGCCCCGATTTGAATAGGTTTGTTCACGATGGGAGGAAAGAGAAACCATTTCCAGAAGAAATGGAGTAATGGGCTTCTTCCCAGATTCTGAGAATTCTACCGGGATCCAAAGGCAGCTCTGGACATCACCCAGCGCCAAGTGAATCTGCAGTTCTCAGGCAGTTACCCTGTCACCCTAAATTGGGAAGCCATGGTGTATCAAGTTTATACCCCTTTGTCTTTGACAATGAAAAGAGATCTGAGGAGTTGAGAGTGAAGCAAGGGAGCTAGGAACGGAGGGACAGACAGAAGTAGATGCCTTATAAAGGAAAAACCAGAGGATTCTGCATTGTTGCGGCCTGAAAACTCCACCAGAGAGAGTTGAAGTAAACTGTGATCTGCATGGCTCAGGGAAGCCCCAACCATTCTACATAGGGAGTCCAGGTATGTTAAGTAAATTGAGCTCATGATCTTTTATTCCTTGAAAATGGCAAGTAAGAATTTCTTCCATTTGTTCTGGCCTTATGGGCTGGGGATATAGCTCAGCAGCATAAGTGCCTGCCTTGCAAGCACATGGTCGTGAGTTTGATCGCCAGTACCAAAAAGAAAAAATAAAAATAATGGCAAGTAAAAGAAGATAAGAGGAGAGGAAAAATAGAGAGGGGTAAGAGGGGAAAGGAAACATTTTCTGTGAGACAACAAATTCAAGCAGGGCAGCAGAAACCAGAGTTTGACAAATCAAAGTTACTGTGCTGGGTACCTAAACAATCCCTCGTGTTGGATCAGCATCCAGGGATCCTGATTCCAGTAGGTTTTATCCCATGCTTTCACATCATTCTTGAGGAATCGACAAAAATATGAAACCAATGTGTTTGTTACACCCACACATTACAGAAATGATACTAGGCCAAATACTGTAAGCACACGCCCTCCTGCATAGGCAAAGATTTATGGTTTGGGGCAGGGCTTTTCATCTCATATGCAATTGGTTAAGAAAATGACAAACGTAACAGACAAGGAGGTTTTCATTGATTCTCTGGGGCCTAACTAAAATCCTGTAGTTTTCATTGGCCAGGGCATGACACCAAGAGGTGTTTTTATTTCTATTGACAGAGTCAGACAACAAATGGACATGATGAATTTGTCCCAGAAGCTGTTGGGTTTCCCTAAAGCAAGTACAATCATTCTGTGTGAAACAGCCTACGCTTACAGTTTGAGGGCTAACAGGCCATCAGCTTTGCTCAGTCATGCTCACTTACTCTGGCACAAATGTTCTGGCCTCATGATGAGGATGAAGGGCTTAGTGTTTGAGCTACTGAAAAGCAGAAGGGTGAGGTACAAGAAGCACTTACCAACTCCAATGGGCAACAAGCCAAACTAATCCTGTAACATTCTTAGACAAATCACATTTTAAATGATCAATAGGTCTATCTATATGCAGTGCTAAGTAGAATCTGTTAGAATTTTTTGGCACAGTTGAGAGACAGAGAGAGATAGAGGCCTTTATTATGGGCATGGAAGGGTGCAGAAGAGCACAAGATTCCCTCCAAGCAGAAACAAAGAAATGGTTGGGCTTTTGTGAAGCCTGGCTGGGGAAGTGTTTGGGAAGGAGACAAATGACATAGTAACAGTTGACTGAAGGAGCATTTGCATGCTCAAAAATGTAAGAGGTGGTTTTTATTTTGGGCTGTGGGAAGAAGCAGGAAGTTGATGTGCTCCTGTTCCTGGGGTCTCTCAGCCATGTTAGACCACTGCCACGACGCCTTGGCAAATGTCATATGGGCAACACCCATCAGAATCTGGTCCAAGAATGAAGACAGCAAGGAAGCAGACATTATATTAACACAGAGGAGCCAAACCTTTTATCACATTTTAGTCAACAGATTTCTGCAGAAATAATATGGGTATTATCGTAACCCATGAAACAGAAGCTGTTTATTATTACTTGGTGGTAGTGTGGATGAAAACCATGGTTATTCTGCTACTGAGCCACATCTCCATCTCCTTTTGCTTATTTTTGAGACAAGGGCACTAAATTGTCCGTATGGGAACTGAACTTGCCGTTCTCCTCCATCAGCCTCTTGAAGGGATCACAGTTGTGTGACACTGCACTGGAAGTTTTTTCTATAGCAAAACTAAAGAAATCTAATAATATTTTTCCCACAGTATAACTTCCAAAATTAGTAGATTCTAAGTTGACTAAGAGAAAGTGAAACTAGGGGACTTAGTCTTTTTCTTGATAATAATTCTTGTTCCATGTACATATTTTTAGGGTCTTATGATAGATCTGCTGAAACATTACTTTCTATAGAAGAGTAACATTTTTCTGTACCCAGAGAATTACTTTTCACCCAGGATTCTGTCCCACCATTGTTCGACAGGATTATACGTAGCCTTGTCACCACATTATTGTACTTCAAGACCCTAATGAGATTCCTGACAGACCAACCATAATATTCCCATTTCTGACCCAGACTGCATCTTGCCCACATAAGTATTGTAAAAAGGCAGTCCCTAATGTTTAGGATGGACCCAAAACCTTCCAAGGAAAAAGTCATGAGTAATCCTCCTATTCATTAACTAAATAATAATTCTTATTCTTCTTTTTCTTCCTCCTCGTTCTTCCCCTTCTTCCTCTTCCTCCTCTTCTTCACTCTTCACACATTTTTGGATGGTAAGGTCATACATGTTGAGTTTTGTTTGTTGTCTTATTCTCAAAGAATACATTTTTCTTCACAGCCTATTTGGCTGTGTTATTTGTTCCACAACTTGAAGAAAAAGAACGAAGTCAGAATGATCAGAAATAGGTAACACTTAGAGGAGCACTTAGCTCTTTTTGCAGATGACAATATCATCGAGAAATCTGTAAATACTGAAAAAATTAACATACAATTCTAGCAACACTGCAGGATATGGAAACAGAAAAAAGATCACATATACATTAACATTTTAAAAGAACATAACTTTTTTTTAAGTCATTGTATAGATGGTAGTTGGTCTGAACAAATCCTGAGACCAGGGTGGAGGTGATTAACCTTCTGAGGAGACAATAGCTCTCTGCAGGGTGCAGGCCTCACCGGGCAAAAGTCAGATTCACATGAAAGGAGCAGAAAGTATACATTGTGTCAGCGTCTCTAAACCAGGGATCTGATTTCATGAGTAATCTGGCAGTCAGGCGAAGGCAAAGTGAGCCTAGAGATCACTGGGCTCCCAGGTTTCAGTCTGACCTGCCCAGGGAGGTCCTCTTAATTTCCAAAAGGGGTCAGTCTGGTGGTGTTCGCAAACCTGGGCTCTTCTTCCGGAACCATGCTTCACAGAGCAGGGGCGGAGATATAGACACCGTCCAATCAGAGGCCACCAGGAACTGACGTCAGGGCACGCCCCTGGGCGAGCGGAAGCTCTTCCTGCTACATGGTCAAAGTAAATACGGCTCACCTGAAGCGCCGGAGGTACTTTCTGGGAATCTGTGACTTATAGCAACTGTGGGGAACTTGCCCAGGCCTCCGGGACACGGGTGAAGCCGGGAATGGCAAGATGGTAAGTACGACTCGGCCACGGGAGTCCGGGGACGACCTGGCACCTGCGGCCGCGGCCGTCCCGCTTCCGCCGCGGCTCACACGGTGCTCCCGCTTCCCCCAGGCTCCGAGCGAGGCTGGGGCGGCCGCGGGTCCCCTGCAGCTGCACTGCGCTGACCTGCAGCGGTGCGGACGCTGGATGCGGCGGCGGCAGGGACTCCTGACTTAGGGTGGAGTTCTCTGTCGCAGGCCCACTTTATTTCAGATTCGACCTCCATCCTCTCCGCCTAGCTCTTAATATTGGCAGGAAAGAAATACTTAGTTTTAATTGTTTAGGGCCACTTTCCGTGTCAGTGATCCAGACTAAGCACATGGAACTACTTGCGTACATCCTTGGGCTTTTCCCTCCTGGGGCATTTTGTGGACCCAGGCTTCCTGGGGGATTCCTTGGGTTGTGGTTTCTCTCTACAAACTTTCCTAGGTCCTTTCCACACGTTGCTGACTCTTCAGCTTACTCCAGCCCTTCCCCAGCTCGGTTGTGTGTGTGTGTGTGTGTGTGTGTGTGTGTGTTTTCTTTCGGCCACACCTAAAATAGTTTGAATATTGTAAGTTATGGGCAAAAACAATTAACGATATACCGTGACTTTAGACTCCCAGGCTCCAGAATTGTTAGAAATAAATGTGTTAAATCCCTAGCCCTTAGTGGTTTGTTGTAGCAGTTTGTGCTGTGATACCACTGTAACATCATTTCCTTGTTTTAACTGTAAATTATATTGTTCAGTTGTTATGATTTTCCCAGCAAACTGGCAGAAGTGTTTTACTTTTTTCTCACTTCATTGTGCCTGTGTGTAATTGATTCAGGTTTACATGACATTGCAGTTTAGACAGTCTGGGGTGGGGGTGAGGGATTGGAGGTACCCTAAAAGTGTAGTGGGTGAGAGATGGATGAAGATTTTTTATTAAAGTGTGAGTAGTGTTACAGTAGGCCATGAGTTGTGAGGAAAATGCAGACACCAGTGTCAGAACAGAGGTCATCACCAAGTCTAAAAGAGACAAAGGTTGTTGGATCAGTTAGTGAAAATAAGACCCGGACGCTCCAAGCAGGGGCCAGTGTAGCATGAGGCCTGTCTTATAGTAGAAGATAGCAGGATGGCCAGCTAATCAAGATGGCAAGGTGGGAGCAAGGAGAATTTAGTACCTTATCTTTGCTTTCTTTCTATTGGCTGATTTCCTCCTGACCCTTCTCTTAAAGCCGGAGGCTGTTTGACTGATCCTTACAGTGTTCCTAAGATGCAGGCCAAGGAAGGGTGGGGAAATGAGTATAGTCTGCTAGATAAATAGGTGCAAGCCTCACCAGACAGGTTTCTACTCTTCCTCAAAGACCCATCTCAGGTACCATGCATTTGGAAAATTATTGCATAAAATTTTTAAACTTTTTTTTTTTTTTTTTTGTCTTTTTGAGATAGGGTCTCCTGATGCAGTTCAAGCTGGCCTTGAGCTCCCTTTGTATTCCAGGCCGGTCTTGAACTCACAGTGATCCTCCTGCCTCAGCCTCCAAGTGCTGGGATTATAAATGTGTGCCACCACGCCTGGTTGCATGAACTTTTTAAAAGGCCTTGAGTCATTCCATTTCTCCTGTCCAGCCTCCAGCACAGTGTGTTAAAATTTTCACACTGAAATGAAATGAAACTTATATATCCCTTGACATGTCAATGAGAGTTAAATAAAATGGCATTTGAAGTTACAATGAATATCCACAAAATCTTGATCTTACACCATACAATGATTTTATTTTAGGCATAGTAATTCTAAATTGGATTGTGCACTGAGCAACACCAATGCTGTGGGATTATTGGGAAGGAGAAACAGAAGTTCTACAGCATGGTTCCTCTAGTAGAGTTGATCATCAGGTGGTAAAGTCCTACTTATGGGAAGGTGTCACCATTTTCTTGGCCTTTCTTTGCCAAAAGTCTGGTACCCTTAGGTGCATGAAATTTTTTAAGTCATCTGTTCTATTCCTTTGGCTATATCTCATCAAGTTTTGCCTTAGATCCCTGGTTGTGGGATCCCAAGCACTTGCTACACTGGCTGCCCCTCCGCGGTGCAGGGGAATGGGACAGTCACCTGAGTCCCCCTGACCCCAGGTTCTTAGGGGGGCAGCAGGGTGTGGGGAGGGCTTCTCCAGACCCACACAGCTACACTGAGGCTTCCCCAGTGGCCAGGGATGCATGAGGGTGTGCTCCTTCTCTCATCTTGTATGTCCACACCGGGACTCCCCTGATAGCAGCAGGCTTGCAGGGCTGTGTTTGTGTGATACTCCCGATGGGTGCTGGCTGCCTGCAGGAAGCAAGCCTTCCGATGGTGGTAGCAGATCTGGCTGTGTCTCATCTTCCTGCTCATGCTGGCTGCTTGTATGAAATCCAGATTCATTTTTCATTTCTCTTGTTTTTAGGGTGTGTTTGAATAGTTGGTTTTTGAAGGCATCATTTTCTTCTAGCTCTGAAATTCTGTCCTCACATTGATCAGTTTTGCTGCCCATACTTTCCGTATAATTTATAATCACAGGTTGCTGATTGAAACATTTTCATGAACTATAATTCTTTGGAAAATCGGTCATTTGGGTTTTGTATCATTTTATTTTTTTAATAGTGTAACAGCTTTATTAATATACAACTATCATACAGTTCACTCATTTGACTGTACAACTCACTGTTTTATATTCACAGTTGTATCATTTTCTGTAGCTCATCTAGGTTTTCATGAGTGTCCTCTGAAACCTACTGCAGCTTTTTGGTTGTTACTTCCATTATCTGTTGGTTTGTATCTTCTGTGATCCCACTGAGTACCTTTGTGCAGGTCAGTTGTATTCCTGGCAATACTAGACTGTTCTCAGCAACGAAAGACAGTGGCCTGTCATGGTCAGAGAGGACTTACTGTCCGTCCTTTCTTTCTTCCTTCCTTTTTTTTTTTTTTTTTTAAATCAAATCTTTATTTAGGTAACCAGTTGGTTATGTTCACCGCATTATATGAAACATCACAATATCATACTGGAAAATACTATCAATACAGGGTTGGATCAGAGTGGACAGTAGGAACAATAAACCATTTTTGCATTCTTCATTCCCTATCTTTTAACAACCCCCCAAGCCCCATAGGGGACAAATAGCTTGTAACACCATCATGTAAAGCATTTTAACTTACAAAGCTAAAATCTAAAGAATAAATAAAATATATTATGGCAGTAATTCCTTTGAGACCAAAAAAATCAGATATACAATAAATCAAGTGATCAGGGCAGCTGACTGTATTCAAATGTGTGGCTCTCCAGAAACAGTTTTAGGAAAATGTTACAGAAAATACCATGAATTCCATTTCACACAGGACCAAATGATGACTCATTAAACTACACACAAAGGCTACTACAACTTACTGAAACACAATTTAAACATATATGAAAATGTTTACAAAAGCATCCACAACATGTAAACCATGTATAAATGGATACATTCATGACCTTTGCCCCAGTAACTCTTAAATACTTTACTCTTCATGTTCAGCATTAGTCAGATTTAATACATGCAAAACTTAGAAGAATTTAAGAATTCAAAGTTACTGTAAAGGTAGAATTAAACTAAATAATCTTCAAGTACCTTATGTGACAACCACTCTGTACCATGCCCAGTTATGAAATGGAAGGTTACTGAACCCATGAAAATATCTCTGTAATATTTCCTTAGATTTAAAATAGATAATTTTAAATGTATTTATAGTAATTTCAATGTGATATCCTGAGCTTTTAAAATAACATAGTTAAAAATTATACCAAATTACATAAAATTTGTATCTTAAAAGCTGAAAAAATTAAAACTATAGAAACCCACTGTAAAACAAAAATAATCACAATTTACATTATAAAGGCAAATCTCATTTAAAAGAATTTGCCTTCCTCTTCCTTTCTTAGGGTTCTGTCCCACTGGGCTACATCCCTAGCTATTTTATTTTTGTAATCTTATGACATGATCTTGGTAAGTTGCCCAGACTGATTTTGAATTTGTGATCTTTCCTATATCAGCTTTTTTAAACTCTGAGATTACCGTATGTACTGCTACACCTGATTTCAAACAGTGGTGGGTCTTTTGGGGAGTTTTGGAGAAGGGAATAGGAAGGTTGAGACAGTGTCTTCCTGTACAGTGTGAGCAGGCCTTGAATTTACTGTGTATCCCAGACTGCTCTCAAAACTTGCGGCAATAACACTTGCCTCAGTGCTGAATTACAGGTGTGTGCTACCACACCCAACTTCAAACTCTTAAGTCATAAGTTTTTCTTGAGTATTGACATGATGTAGTTTCAAAAAGGAACTGAAATATGCCTTTTAGATCTTCCTTGTTAAGATTTAGGATTATTTTGCTAAGTGTAGTATAAATAATTTTTATTGTACCTACAGTTGTCAGAGGGAAATTGCTTTAATTTTTTTTGTCACTTCTATGGGCTCCCATAAAGACATTTAGAAATAAGTAGCATAATATTCTGATACTGTATTTTACTGTTCCTAAGAGGAAATCCTAATGACATAGTTTATGGAAATTTGCAGTTCCATGTACTCATAAAGTTTAGGGATCAGGGTTCCTACTTCAAGGCCAGACAGTGCAATATCACAAGAACCTTTTGTTAAAACACTGGTGTGTGTTGCTCAGTAATGGAATCCTTGTGTAGTACATAGGGGATTCTTTCTTTAGTACCACAGATAAATAAATATTAACACATACTCAGATTGAGCCTTAATCCTTAAGGCTATCTGTGAACTGCAGAAGTCTCAAATGAGTACTTTTATCACTTGACTCATTTCAGAGTTTTTTTCCCTTTGCGGTTCTAGAAATTTAACCTAGGGCCGCACACATAGTTGGTAAGCACTCTGTCACTGAATTACATCCCCATTCATACTCAGAATTGTCTTGGTTTTTGTGTTCGGTTGGTTGGTTGGTTGGTTTGGGTTTTGGAGACAAGAGCTTACTAGTAAGTAGTTCAGGCTAGTCTTGGACTCACCGTGTAGCACAGGCTGGACTTGGTGTGATTCTCTGCTTCGACCTCTGAATTACCGGATGCACCACTGCACTTGGCAGGGTTTTCTTGTATTGCCCTTGTGGGCCCCCAGTGTTCAGTCCTGCTGCCCTGTCCATGCCAGCAGCTAGAAATTTTTATATGCCCTGTCACACCCAAGTCTGAATGCTTCTAATGTCACAGAATACTTTGTAAAACTCAGTATTGGGGCTGGGGGTTTAGCTCAGCGGCATAAGCACCTGCCTTGCAAGCAGGCAGTCGTGAGTTCGATCCCCGGTACCGATAAAAATGAAAAAGACAAAAAAAAAAAAAACTCAGTATTTATTACACATTTTATCCCCCCCCCCCAGTCTCATGTTTGTTGGTGGGAATGGTTTTCCACAAGGTCCCTTAGAAGGTGTTTTATTTATTGTGCTATGGGAATTAAATCCAAGGCCTCGTGTGTGCAAGGCATGAGCTCTACCACTGAGCCACACGTCCAGCCCCTGTTGGTGAGAATACTTTTGAGGTTCCATTTGTTCATTTTAAGCATATCTACTTTGGGTCTGTGTATCATGAAATATGAAGTGATACAGTATATAATAAAGCCTGAAATGACAGTCTCATACGGACATGGTTGAATTGATTTAGTTTTTTTTCAGGGCTTTTTGTTGTTTTTTAGTTCAGGTTTTGGTTTGTGAGGGTGGGGGGTGATTTTTTTGAGACAGTGTCTCACTGTGTAGTCTAACAGCTATCCTCCTACCTCAGCCTCCTGAGTGCTGGGATTGCAGGCATGCACATCACATCCAGTTTGATTTAGTCTCTTTTTGTGTATCATTTTTTATTTCAAGGTGAATTGGGGTCTACCATAAGACAGCAATATGACATGTAGAAGTAAAGACACAGAAGTCATTTCTGTATGTTCTGTCCTGATACATTTTATGTACTCAGACGTGGTGTTGGGAACACCTTTGGTATTAAGGTTGCAGCTACAGTGCTGTCAGTCTAACCGTTTTCTTATGTCAATTTCTGGGATGTCTTAGCACTCAGTGGACTTTGAGGATGTGGCTGTGAGGTTCACCTTTGAAGAATGGGCTCTGCTGGACCCGTCCCAAAAGAGACTCTACCACGATGTGATGAAGGAGACCGTCAGGAACCTGGCCACCGTGGGTGAGGAGGACGACATCCCGTCGTTTAGTGAATTAGAGAACAAGCATTTCTTTTATGAAAACTGGAAAAACTATAATTTTTGAGACTAAATCAATGAGTCAAAGCTATTGAATAGAATCATAGTGTTCTGTAATTTCTAACATGTGATTTTTGTGGATATGAATTTTAGGGGGAAAATTGAAAGACCAGAGCCCTGAAAATGAGGAAACAAAGCAAGAGAGAAATCCAAGGTGAGGTGCACTCATAAAAGTAGACAATGACTATCAAGAAAATCTTCATAGGGGCTGGGGATTTAGCTCAGCAGCATAAGCACCTGCCTTGCAAGCAGGCAGTCGTGAGTTTGATCCCTGGTACCATAAAAACAAAAAAGACAAAAAGAAAATGTTCATAATGACTGCTTTTCCAAAGGAAGCAGGGAAAACAGTAAACCCAGATCTATTTTACATGTCAGAAGATTTTCATGAAAAGATTATATATTAAGATCATTCATGTTCCAAATGCTATTATACAAACACATGTATAAATATGTAATTTCGTATACAGGGGACTGAGCCCAGGGATTTCACTGAGCTATTTCTCCCACCCCGTCTACCTTTTGTTTTTTGGGACAGAGTCTCACTGTGCAGTCTAGGTTGAGCTTGAACTTGCTGTGTAATTAAGCTGCTGTGAAACTCTGATCTCCTGGTGCTCTGTCATAAGTGGTAGGGTTACAGATGTGTGACACAGCACCCAGATAGTCGAAGTTGTTTTCAATGTAGAGTTTTGGCCTTGCCGAGCTTCCCAGACTGGCTTTGAAATTGAGACCCTCTTGTCTCTGGGTCTTGAGTAGCTGAGGTTACAGCAATGGGCCAGTATGCCTACTAATGTTACTGCTTTAGTAATAGTACTTTTATAGAATATTATATATATTCACTTTCAGAGCAACCAACCAAGAAGAAAATCCATATTTTTCTCTAAAGTATTTAAAAACTAATTCTAGTACATGTTGAAAATATGAAATTATTGTTGTTTGAAAGCATTGAAAATGTGCTCTTCATTCTTACAGAAGTCATATGGTGGAGAGACTCTATGAGAGTAAAGATCATCAATGTGAAGAAAATGTCATCCCAATCCCAAATCTCAGTCTCACAAAGGAAACCTGTATCTGTGTAACACCGTGTAAAGGCAGCTTGTGTGGAAAAGTCCTCGTGCATCCAACGTTCCTTAGTGGAGAGCCGAGATCTCCTGTGCGGCATAAGCCACATGAGAGTAGGAAATACGGAGAGAAGCCCTATAAATGTAAGGTGTGTGGTAAAGCATTTGGTTATCACCAGTGGCTTCAGAAACACGAACAGCATCATACTGAAGGAATGCGCTACGGGTGTAAACAGTGTGGCAAAGCCTTCAGATTTCTCAGTTCTTTTCAGACACATGAAAGAAGTCATAAAGAGAAACACTATGAATGTAAAGGATGTGGCAAAGCCTTCTTTACTTCTGAAAGCTTTGAGAGACACTTGAGTGTACATGCTACACAGAAACCTTATCAGTGTAAAGAATGTGAGAAATCCTTTGTTTATCTCTTAACGTTTAAAATACACATGAACACGCACAGTGGAGGGAAACACTACAAGTGTAAACACTGTGGAACAACTTTTTCGTACTACTCAGCATTCAAACAACATGAAAGGAGTCATACTGGAGAGCAGCCTGATGAATATAATCAGTGTGGTAAGTCCTTCAGTGCTTCTACACATTTGGGACATACCGAGAAGAGTCACAAGATGGGAAAGCCTTACAAGTGCACAGTATGTGGCAAAGACTTTAAACATTTCAGTAATTTTCAATTACATAAGACAATTCATACTGGAGAGAAGGTTTACAAATGCCAGGAGTGCGGGTACTCCTCTGTTTATGTTCGGAAGCTTCAGTTACACATGAGAGTGCACACTGGAGATCGACCTTATAAGTGCAAGGACTGTGGCAAGGCTTTCAGGACTTCACATGACTGTCGAGAGCATCAAAGTACACACACTGGAGAGAAACTGTATAAATGCAAACACTGCGATAAGCCCTTCGGTTTTTCCAGTGCCCTTCGTAGGCATTTAAGAACTCACACTGGAGAAAAACCCTATGAATGTAAACACTGTGGTAAGACTTTTGCTTCTTCTGGTAACTGCCAAAGACATGAAAGAAATCACACTGGGCAGAAACCCTATGAATGTAAACAATGTGGTAAGACCTTCACCTCTCCCAGTTACCTCCGAATGCATATAAGAATTCACACTGGAGAGAAGCCCTATGAATGTAAACAGTGTGGTAAGGCCTTTGCTTTTTGCAATGCCCTCCATGTGCATGAAAGAACTCACACTAGACAAACCCTATGAATGTAAACAATATGGAATGGCATTTACTTTTTGTATTGCTCTCCAAATACATGAAAGAACTCAGTCTGCTGAAGCCTGGTGAATGTAAACAATGTGGTAAGTTGTGTGCCTACTGCAGAGACCTCCAAAAGCATGAAAGAACTCACGCTGAAAGCAATCTTATGATAGGGAGCAGAATAGAAGATAAAATAAGTGGGGAGGCCTTTTCAACTAGATGGCAGTACAAGATGGCGGGACAGAGGAGGAAGGAAAAGAGATGAGGGGAAAAGAATTGAAGGGGGAAATTTATGAAAATAGAACTTTTATAAGTGGAAAGGGGTCCAGGAGTTGAACAGGCCAAGACAGAAGCAGTAATAGATGAAAAATAAAGGATTTTCAATGTGTTACATGCATGTACTGACTCTGCATAATAAATGTAATCATTATATACTGCAAATATGAACTAATAAAAAATTTTAAAGAAAAACCTTATAAATATAGACAATGTGATGAAATCTTCATTTACTCATATGGTCTTTAATGGCCTTGCCTGTGAAAATAAGATGGTAGGGCCACCAGTTCATCCAGTTCAGTTTGAGTTGTGCCAGATCATTGGAGAGAAGCCCAGTAATTGTGAACAATATGGTGAGACCTCATGTTATTGAAGTTCCATTTGAGGAGAAGAAAGTCTCTACAGTAAACAATATAGTAAATTTAAGTATGTCTGTTATGCTATATTCCTTGAAAGGACTCATAAGAATCCCTGTGAACTATATGGGAAAACATCCATCACATGAGGCTTTATACTGGACAGGAACTCTATAATTATAATTATATAATCTTATAATTAACTTTGGTATTTCTTCAGACATCTTTGCTTAATTTGAAATCATAAGCCCACTCTTACAAAGAGAATTTCTTTTTTTCTACAGGAGATTTATCCCAGGGCTTTGATACTGAGTTATATTTCCATCCCTTTATTTTTTATTGAGACAAGAGTCTTACAAGTTGCCAGTTTACCCAGACTGGGCTCAGACTCCCTCAGCACTGCTATTACTGGTGTGCACTCCCACACCTGAGTCATTTCTTAGGAAGCTATTGATTGGCTCACCTCCTTAGAACACTGTGGGATTGCAAATCGGACAAAATTGTAAGCAAGTGAAAAATTGCCCAAAAGTGGTCAGTTTTAAACACATGTTGAATGTAAAGACCACAACTGGGTATACATGCATTAATTATGTTATAGAAAGTCAATATAGAGCATTTTCTTTGTAAGGCTATAGAACATTGCAAGTATACACTAATATTTGAAAGCTTTTAAATATAGTATCTTTATGTGTGGCATGATTCCATATGTGTTCTGTAGTTAAACATATAGGGACATTGACACATGCTGGTGATTCCAGCAGTGTTGGAGTCTGACAGGAATGGAAGTCTGAATGCTACTCAGGCAACTCAGTGAGATCCTGTCTCAAAACTAAGAAGGCCTGCAGATGTAGCTTAGAGTGGACACCTGTGTTCAAGTGTATCATGGTACACAGGTTTATACCACTGAACTGTGGTCTTAGCATGAGTTGACAAAAGAATATCAGTAGCCAAACTAGCAAAGCTTTAGTCCTGTTGTTCAAGAAGAGTGGCTCTGGAGGATCATGGAGTGCAGCAAGGCCCATGCTATGGACTAGTATTGCTCTTGGCCATTTAGGGTCCAGGAGAACATCAGCAGATGAAGAAGGGAAGATCTGTCTGCATCTTACCTGCTCCCCATTGCTTGCATTACCACCTGACCATTTCCAGTCAGAACAGCAGCATTATCAGTTTCTCCTAGGAGTGTGAAACTTGTGCACTGAGCATGTGGTACATGTAAAGTTCCTGTTGCTTACGAGAATTAATATCTGATATGAGTTATAACCCTTGTGGCTACAAATAAAGGTTAGTATTAGCATAGGATTGCACAGTAACTCAGTTGCTTGCTAACTCGTATCAAAGCCAAGTGCCAATCTGCATCTGGCAGCAAGCTTTATATCAGAATTCCACACTTATTTTAGTCCACACCTGACACATCTACGATTTTATTTGCCACCTACTGTACCTGTTTGTCACTGCGTTTATCTGTCTTATATTGGTTAAGCCTACAAAGTAATCCTATGCAAAAGGCTAAAAATCAAATATTCCTCCAGGGCATCTTTGACAAGGGAGAAAAGCCCAATAATAAGATAGCAGAAGACAAATGTTGCCAACAGAAAGCTGGATTTGACTACAATGAGTGTGTCCAATTCAATGCAAAAGAAAAAAAGTTACCACGAGGTTGGTTGAAAGATAAAAGTCTGATGTGGAAGCATAAAGTGACATAGACTGAAATTGAATGCTTAGCATGGGGAGAGGAGAAACCATTCTACTCCTGGATAATGGTACCGTAAACCCACATGTATGCCATCTGGGGAAAAATTGTTAGGAAAAGAGGCCAATCAGTTCTGCAGTGACAGCCTGGCAGTGTCTAAACTCACAGTCCACTATCCTCCCTCTGGGGCATAGAGAAGTGTGAGACACATTCATTCCAGGAATCCAGATGCCAAAAACAGAATGAGGTATAAATTAACTGCCACTAGGTCAAAAAGCAGTCCAACCATCTGTTGCATTCAAGAAATTCACCTAATCTTAAAAGGGATTCATAGACTAAAAATCAAAGAAGAGAAAATGTTTCATCTACCAGGACCCCAAAAGCAAGCAGAGGTAGCAGTTTTATTCTCAAAATAAACTTCAACCTAACACTGACAAGAAGAGGCAAAGAATGCAATATTATCTAAGGAAACAGTTCAACAGGAAAATATAAAAATTGTAAATATATATGTACCAAATAATGCACTTTTTTAGCATAGGAAAATGATGGAAACTTTGAATGAACAGTATAGTGTAATTTTTTTGTTTTTGTTTTTGGTACCAGGGATCGAACTCACGACTGCGTGCTTGCAAGGCAGGCACTTATGCTGCTGAACTAAATGAATTAAATACCCGGCCCCTCTACTTTTGTACCAGGGATCAAACTTACAATCTTGTGCATGCCAGGAAGGCACTTAGGCCACTGAGCTTAATCCCCAGCCCGAGGCACTTCCTAAAACACTACTGGCCGGGGCTGGGGGTTTAGCTCAGCGGCATAAGCGCCTGCCTTGCAAGTGTGCAGTCATGAGTTCGATCCCTGGTACCGATAAAAAGGAAAAAGACAAAAAAAAAAAAAAACACTACTGGCCATGCAAGATCGGTAAACACTAACACAAGCATAGTGGATGACCTCAATATCCCACTTTTACAAAGAGACAGATAAACTAAGCAAAAAGTCAATAAACATCAGGGCTGAACTATTAATAGCACAACAGATGCACATTGGAAACAATGTTAAATGAAATACACCAGACAAAATGAAAGATGGATCCAGTAGCTGATACATGATACAAAGAAGGCTAAAATTAATTGAAATTTATCAAAAATCAGGAGATAGTAGAAATAGCTGTTTACTGATATAATGGTCAAAAATTTTCCAAGTAAAAAATATACACGTAGGGGCTGGGGATTTAGTTCAGCGGTATAAGCACCTGCCTTGCAAGCAGGCAGTCGTGAGTTCGATTCTGGGTACCAATAAAATTTTTAAAAATTTTAAAATATATAGATATATAAGTGAGCCCCGAATAGCCATAATGGGAAAGAACTTTTCTGTGACACATCATAGTCAAAATCACAAATCACTAATAAACTAAAATTTTAAAATAGAGATTAATAATAAAGTGCTGAATTTATGTGTCAACAACTGTACCCTGAAGAAAATAGAATACAACCTCTTCTGAGCACCTTCTCGCACATCTTTTCCTTTTTAATTTTATGTATGTATTTTTTTTTTTTTTTTGGTACTAGGGATCAAACAGCCTCACACTTGCCAGCTAGGTGCTTATGCCACTGAGCTAAACCCCCAGCCCCATCTTTCCCTTTATAAAGAAGAAACTGGCGTACTTGAGGTCTCATCCAGGGAACCCTGACACGCTCAGTGAGGGCTCTGCTACCTTATTTACGTTGTGTAAATTGGATGGAATTTTTCAAAAGCAGCTCTTTTGTATAAAAACTGGTACAACTGTGTGTGTCCCATTTTCTGCTACCAACCATTCGGAGAAGTCCATGGCATGTTTCATATCATCTGATTTTCATGAGGATGTCATAGTTCTGCTTGTAGTGTTAACCTAGTATCATTTCCTTTTATTTTCTTTGATAAAAGGACAATAGGTGACACAAATAATGGCACTGTAACAGTTTTCTTTTGGGTGTGTTTGTCGTTGTGGTATCAGTTACACTGTTAGAAGTCAGGGCTATAATTCATAATGTATACAATTAAAGGTAGTAAAAGGCATTTAGATGTGGTGGTATACGCCTCTACTCCACTCACTCACTTAGGAAGTTGAGACGAGATGATCATTTGTCCCAGGGCCCAGGTGTGGAATTTTTTTTTAATTTTAATTTTTTTTAAGGAAAGACTAAACAAAACAGAAAATGGGTAGAAATAATACATATGTTCAGAGAAAAACAGAAATCACTAGTTGATGTTTACATACTGTCCTTTTACAATTAGTTGTTCAAGATACAAAAGTGGAACATATAAAGTGGGAATTCAAATAGCGAGACTGCAAACAGTTCTGTTCAACTCTCCAACAAAAACTTAGTAATATGGTTGTCAATCCTATACACTTAAACATAACATGCAGTTATCCATATCTTCATTTATATTGAGATTAAGCAAATTAAAGCAGGCTAAAGTCATTCTGAACAAAGAATAATAGTATGACTGGATTTCACATCATGACACTCCAGGATCAGCACTGGGTACTGTAGTGTCTTTTTTAATTTTATTTTATTTAAACAAAGACTAAACAAAACAGAAAACAGGTAGAAATAATACATAGTTTCAAAGAAAAAATAAATAGTAAAAAATCACTAGTTGATGATTACAGATTGTCCTCTTACAAATAGTTATTCAAGATACAAAAGTGGAACATATAAAGTGGGGATTCAAACAGTGAGACCAACCAGTTCTGTTCAACTATCCAACAAAAACTTAGATATATGGTTGTCAAGCCTATACACTTAAACATACATGCAGTTATCCATATCTTCAATTATGTTGAGATTGAACAAACCCAAGCAGGCTAATATCACTCTGAACAAAGAATAATATGACTACTGGGTTTCACATTATGACACTCCAGGATCAGCACTGGGTACTTTAGTGTCTCTCTCTCCTCAAAGTATCTGTTCATTTCATCATTTGTCATAAGATCAGTTCTCTATTTGACCAAGAGAATATGAAAAAAAAATAAGATCAGTTGTCATAAACTATTTATAGATTCTACACATGCATGAGTCTTAACATGTATTTTTATTCTTTCTATATTAGAGGGAGAAACAAAACAAAGCAAGATAAAACAAAACATATTCCTATAAACACATGAAAAAGACCATTATACAAGGAGTTCTACCATAGTTCCTGTGTTGTCTATTATCTTCAATAGAATTGGCTATATCTTCAAACATAGTATAATTGAATATATAAGTACATAACAGTATTAACAAAAACACAACTTTGTATATAGTATAAAATTTCAAAAGCAGGCAGTTATCAAACCAGAATGTGTATCGTAGAATCTTGTTAGGTGTGGAATTTTTTAATCATGGTATACTTAGACCATGCAATATTGCCCAACAACTAAAAACAATAAAGTAATGATAACACAAACTTCACCAAATTTATGTTAAACAGGAAAAAGAAATGAGGGGGCTGTGTATGGCTCCAATTCCATGAACAGAAAAACAAATGTATCGTGATGAAAGTCAGGACAGTGGTGACTCCTGGGGATAGGGCAACAGACTCTGAAATGTTTTAGTTTTGACAGGGTGAATGCATGCTGTAGACATAAAATTAATCAAATTGCAATGTAAGATGAACTTCTGTGTCATAACTCAATTACAACAATTCTAAAGCACAAAAGAGCCCCATAAAATAGCATTCAAAATAGAACCAAAAAGAGTCAAACTTCAGCTACTAACATCTCCCACATGGTTACCTTCACCAACTCGCCTTAATTTGGGCCTCAGATTCCTCATATGCAGAATAAGGGTGACAATACCTACCTCAGGATGTCACTGTGAGGACAGATGCAAAGCTTTGAGGAGTAGCTGGTTATGTTAAGTGTTAGTTATCACTATGAGGAATGGTTGAATGTTCATTCTAAGGCTAATTTTTTTTTATTGTTGGTATTGGGGATGGAACTCACAACCTTGCACTTGCCATGCAGGAGCTTATGCCACTGAGCTAAATCTCCAGCCCACTAAGGATAAACTTGTAGGGATAAAAATTGCAATTTTTACTGGAAATGTATAAAATGTCAAAATGCTTTTCATTTAATTACATTGCTTCAAAATATGTCCATAAATTTAAAAATTAACAGAATTACAAGGACTATTCAACAACCCACAATCATGGTAAACAATAGATTATAAATCTGTAAATGGTTTTTTCAACAAAAATTATATGCTCAATCTAATGGGCATAGGCAGAATATAATGACTCAACCACTGTTGAATGTTTACACAAATTGATATATACTAGTGCACCAGTGAGGAACTGCAGGAAGCTGAAAGAGGCCCACTCCCTTTCTCCCCACCCTTTAAAATCTTGAACCAGTAAACACAGTTTTTGTGTTTGTATGTGTTTGTTTGAATGTAATGAGACACACAGACTAAAGAACCCAGGGCTGGTGAACTCATACAAAAATCCTAATTATATATATCTTTAATTTGTTTTAAGATTACGGAAGCAAGAAGGTTGAGATTTCCGGCCACCCTCTCTTTAGCCTGTGGCTTTTACCCTGATGGTTACCCTCATCTAGCTTTGGATTCATACCTTCTTGAAGATAGAAGTGGAGATGCCTGGCCAAATTAAATCACACCTGTGCAATGTCTTTTGCCAGAATCATATCCAGTATCTTCTAACACTTATACCATCCAAGACTGGGCAACACGGCCTCCTAGCCAGAAGACAGAGGGGTTTTAATAGTGCACATTATCCAGGTGAACAACGACAACAAAAAATAGGTCCTTTTGTAAGGTAGGGCAATTTTAGTTGGCAACTAGCAGATCTACCACCAAATACTTAAAATTCAGTAACATAAAAACTATATACTCTACTTACTATGTAATCAAGTTAGAAACCAAACATCAAAAAGATGATTAAGAAATCACCATGTTACATGCAGGAACTTTCACATCCTAAGCCTAGAAGAGGGTGTTGGTTACATACAAGTATGTATCTGTTAAATGTATCCAACTGCAGTTATGATTTATGCATTTTGCTATAATTATATCTCTATGAAAATATATCTGTGTCACGGGGAGAACATGGCGGACAGACAACAGCAACTACTGAACGCTCTCTAAAGGCTCGGCTCAGAGGCCAGGAATGATGCGGACTAAGGAGATACGAACCAGTAGAGATATGCTCTGCTGACTCAGGAACGAACTGGGCTGAGAGAATCCAACTTGGAATACAGTCCTGGCGCTAAAATAGGAACAGAAAAATCTCGGTGTGGAGGCTCGACTCCGCGCCATTGGAAACCGCGGTTTGGATTTCCCGCTGCCCAGCGGCCGGCTGCCTCCATAGTGGCTCGGCAAGGAGAGACACGCAGAGGCTTGGGAACGGGAGTCTGCGAACGGAGTCGGAAACGCGACGGACAGGGAGGAAGGCTGACTGGTGGCGAGGTGAGCGAGGAACTGACTCCCTACCGCAGTTTGACTCCAGCGGAGGTTTTTCTGGGCGCGGGCAGTCCTGTAAGAGCAGGGCGCGGTGGCAACTGCAGCCGCAAGTTTCCCTCTCGGACGGGATTGGTGAAAGGTGCCTGGCCGGAGGGACGCTGCTCGCGGACTCCCTAGGCTGGCCTAACCCAGATCCCAGAGCCTGACAGTGGCCCGGAGGAGCGACCGACTCCCGTGTAGGCTGCCTCCTCCGCAACTCCCTGGGGCGCAGCGGTGAGCGGGAACAACTAGCCAGCGCAATTTGATCAAGCTGTGGCTGACAGGCAGGGAAGCCGGGCCTCCTGTGTAAGATTACATTTTATAAGGAACAGAAAATATGGGGAAGGGAAGCAACGAAAAAGGCTCCTCGACCCCCAATCCTGAGAATCAGGCAGTGGACACTGCACCAATATACATTAAGCGCCATTTAGAGAGCCTCATAGACCAATTCAGGAATGAAGTTATCAATGACCTGAAGCTAGAAGTATGCAGAATAGTTAGAGAAATGCTAAGCACCACCCAGGAAAAATCAGATGGTGGAATGGAAGAACAGAAAAAGAGGGGAGAATTGCTTGATGGAGAAAACAGAGAAAGCATTGAGTATGTGAAGCAGGTGCAAAGGGACTATCAAGAAATTAAGAAGTCTACCCAAGACTGGCATAACAGCTTGAAAGAAACTAAGGACAGACTATCTGAATTGGAGGGCAGACTTGAAACATGGGAGAATGAAATGAAAAACTTCTTAAAAATAACAAAGAAACACACAGCAATAATACAAAGACAAGAAGATGATAAGAGGAGCCATAACTTAAGGATTAAGAACATAAAAGAAGAAGTAGGGACACAAACAAGTGAACTACAAAAGCTACTCACAGAAATAATCCAGGAGAATTTTCCTAATTTAGCAAAAGGTAAAGATACTCAAATGTATGAGGCATACAGGACCCCAGCTACCTACAACCCTAACAGAGAAACACCCAGGCATATAATAATAAAAATTCCAGAAATTCAATACAAGAACAGAATATTAAAAGCTGTAAGAGACAAGAAACAGATCACTTACAAGGGAAGACCCATCAGAATTACAGCAGATTTCTCTTCACAAACCATCAAATCACGAAGAGCATGGGGAGAAATAATTCAAGCTTTGAAAGATAATAATCTACAGCCAAGATTGAGATATCCTGCACAACTGTCCCTGGAAATTGATGGAAAAACGAGGTGCTTCCAGGATAAAGAGGAACTGGGGGAATTTGCAACCACCAATTCAACCCTACAGAAAGTATTGCAGGATATTCTAAAAAAAGAAAAATACAAAGAACCCAGAAATAGGGGCGGGGAGGCCACAACGAATGGAGCAGAGAATAAAATGAAGAAGACAAACTGACAGCTACTGACAGAAAAAGAGCTCAACAGAAATGAGACAGAGAAGATTGGATGATAGGAACAGCTTTTTTTGGAGAAAATGACATCTTAATAGGTAATGCTGATTTAGTACCATCTTGTTTTGAAGTCTCATCTAGCTTTTGTTCTTCTGTCTCCAATGGTCTAAACAGGTTGTATCTTATTGGATTTTGTTAAGTACGATAGTATAAGAAAAAACCTTTTAAAGACAAGGAGATTATACAGAGACCATTGTTCATTTTCTGTTAGTCGATTCTAAATACTCTATAATGCTGTCATTCTCTTAAATGGATTTACATTGTTTTGATATACTTAATACTACAGTATATGAAGTTGTACTCAAGGACTTCAGGGAGGGAGTCAATATGGTAACTATTTTTGGGTCAGGATTATCTGGTGGTGAAACACTATTCTGCTTAAATGGTTATGTTTTGATCTGCCCTGTTTCGCTGTTATGCCCTCTTTTTTCTCAATCTCCACTCCATTATTTACTTTTTTATTTTTATCCATTTAATTAAAGGGAAAAATATAGCAGGATATAATATAGTAACCCACTTTGACTTTCTATTATCTCGATTTGAAGCCCTGTGTTACTCTCACCATCTTGTTTTTGACTGAGGTTCCTCTATTCTGTTTTGCTGGATAGTATCAGGTTCGAAAGTTTAGGCATCAGCTGAGAAGATAATGAGATTCATTATAACGCCCATTCTCGTTGACTTTTATCTACTTTTGAAGACCTACAATGTCTCCAATGTTTTGGTTTTGTCGGTTTTATTCTTTACGGTTTTGTTCAATTGTATTACAACTAATGATATAGGCAATTCTATTAGAAATAGCGGGAGGCATTATGGTAACCATTGTTGATCACCTTGTATTATGTTTTTATATTATCTATTATGTCCACCCTTTTGACTTGACCGATTCTGTTCTGTTATGTCACATTTGGTTTTACTCTCTTCCAAAAAAGCAACAAGAACCGTGGGAGCAATGAAACCCAAAATGTGTAATAGTCACTGTACAAAAGAGAGGAAAAGAAAGTGCTCTAAACTATATAACTGCATGTATATTTAAGTGTATAAGATAGAAAATGATATCACAGAGTTTTATTGGATCATTGAACAGAACTGTCTGCAGTATCATTGTTGGAATGTCCACTCTACAAGCTTTAATTTTGTGACTTGAACAATTATTTCTAAGATGGCAATATGTAATCCATTAACTAGTGATTTCCTACTGCGCATTTTTTTATTCTGTAAATCTGTATAACTTGTACCTCTTCACTGTTTTTTTTTCTTTCTTTTCTTTTCTCCTTAAATAAAAATTAAAAAAATATATATATCTGTGTACTAGAATTAAATTCCAAATAACTCAAAGGCGGGAGAACAATAATGGAAATAAATACAGTATTAGAATTAAACCAGAAGGAAACATACAGCCATCCCTCAGTACCCACAGGGATGTGTTCCAGATACCAGAATCCAGGTGCTCTAGCCCCTCACACACACTGGTGTGTAGTATAATCTATGCACACCTTCACATCTCTGGTAACTGGCACTAACAGAGTGTATATGCTGTGTAAATACTGTATTGAAGAAAAGTGTATCCAGTATTCAGTAGAAATGCGACTCTGTCCTGTGATTTTCAGTAAGAAATCGGATGAACACTGATGCAGACCCTGCAGATCCCGGGGTAGACTGTACAGGACAACAGAGACACGGCTAAGTTGGCCTCACAAGAGACAAGTGGAGCCCAAACTGTTCCTTAACTACCAAGGAGCCCACTGTAGGTCTGTGACACTGACAAGGGCAGGCCCCTTGCCGGGTGCTCTCCTGCCCACTGCTGCTCCTCCTGTGCACAGGGAGTGATGAGCTGTGCCTGAAGGCTCTCTCACACTGGCTGCAGGGGTAGGCCTCCCCACCATGAGGGTTCTCACATGCACCGTGAGGTATGAAGACTCTAAAGGCCCACATTCCTGGCAGGAGTATGGCTTCTTTCCAGTGTGAGTTCGCATGTGATTCTTCAGGTTGGAGAGGCAACTCAAGACCTGCCCACAGGTCCCACACTCAAGGCTTCTCCCTAGTTTGGATTCTCTTGTGCACATTCAGGTGTGTGCTGGTGTGGAAGGGTTTCCCACACTGCTTGCACTCATAGGGCTTCTTCATATGGGTACACAGGTGTGTGTTAAGCAATGAATGCTCCCTGAATGCTTTCCCACAGTGGCTGCATTCAAAGGCTTCTCTCCGATGTGTGTCCGCATGTGGTACTGACAGACGATGGTTGATTGAATGCTTTCCTGCAGTCCTTACACACATAGGGCTTCTCTCCCATATGGCTCCTCTGGTGCAAAATCAGGTTGAAATTTCTGGTGCAAGTTTTCCTACACTGACCACATTCAAAGGGCTTCTCTCCAGTGTGGGTGCTCAGGTGCTGCCACAGGTTGAAGGAATATTTGAAGGCTTGCTGGCCTTCCTGGCACTCAAAGAACTTTTCTGCCATGTGCATCCTCTCATGTCTCAGGTCAGAGCTATAGCAAAAGGACTGTTCACACTGGTGGCAACATAGGTTTTATCTACACTGTGGAAGTACTAGTCACAGAAACAGGAAGAAATTTCATAGATTGTGAGAGGAATTATGTAATAATAAATTCAAAAGATAGAAGTCATGGGGAGACAACTTGCTGAGACAGGGTTCCATGAAGATTGGTACTGATTGGAACTGATGTGGAAGGGAAATACTAACCATGCACAGTGGGAACGGCTAACGCATACACATGGAAATACTTAACATGAAGACAGAGAAGGCAAGTACTTTTGAGGTTCCACAGCTCTTCTTTTGGCTCCAAATATAATGCTAGACTGGTTTTGCACAGTGGATCCGTTCACAGGAAAGACAAACGGTGGGCTGCCAAGGCCTGGTCATAACACCAGGGCTGATATTCTCAAATCCTCAGGGGCTCTGGAGATGGTTAACATCTTTCTGCATTTTGATGGACACAGCAAAGCTCTTTTACTCAGGAACTTTACTGGGACACAGAAAATACCAAGCTACCTGGTCCCCAGAACCCAGGGTCTGGCTCAGAGCCACTCTCCAGAAGCCCAGAATCCTGGTGAATCCTGGGAAACAGCAGTAGACAGAGGCCACTGGACTGTAACATGTCATGGGGCCAGACTCATCTGTCTCTTGATTTCCACCCCTACACAATTCCTGGAATCCACAGTGGTCTCCTGAGAGTATGAAAGAAGCCATGAGGTGAGCCTTACCTATAGTGGCCAGGGTCCTGGAGTTTTCCAGCATCACGTCTCTGTATAAACTTCTCTGAGCACAATCCAAAAACACCCATTTTTCTGGACTAAACACCACAGCCACATCTGCAAATGTGACTGGTTTCTAAAATACCCACCCATCGTGGCTTGGCCAGTGACCATACCCCCAACCAAAATGACATATCCTGCCTCACTGTAGGGACCAGCAGACCTGAGCATGGAGGTGAAGAGGAGAAATATCTGGTAAATAAACTCAGCCTCATGAGACCATGAAGCCGGAACCGATGACAGCTTGCATCCTTGCTTTGTCTCCCCTCTTGGCTCTCAGCAGCTTAAAGAGGGCCTGAATGACAGGATAGGACCATTACTTGGGCAGCATGAGGTCCAGCTTGTGGTAGGCTGGAGGTCAGCCCTGTGTGTAGGTTGAAGAAGGTCCAGGCAGGTCATGTAAATGAATTAGTCTAGCCTCTGCACAGCAATGCTCTTGAGGGGCTAAAAGGATCATTTATTTACCCAGAAACAACCGCCCTCCCCCCACCTCAGCTGCAGGACAGCTCTTGACTCCTCAGGCCTTTACCACCATCTGCAGGGCTAATGTAGCCCCAGGCCATGCTGTAAGAAAGGGATGGATGAAT